ACACCTGGCCAGGTTCACAGTGTTGCGTCTGCAGCTCAGCAAAGCACTTTTGCTCCACCTGATGTGCTTTTTCCCTCTTGTGCTCTTATATCCATGTTGTGAAACCTCAAAAAAGCAGAAGTTGGAAGTTCAGGTGACCTCACAGATCTGCTGCAGATAAAGGGGCCATCACACTACAGAAATGCTCAGTTTAGATGATTTCTAGCTGCTAAAACTACTTAAAGACTTTAGGGATAAGCTTTTTTTTTTTTTTTTTTTTCCATTTAACTTTGTATTTTGTAGCTGCTCTTCCTGTTCCTGCAACTTCAGTATGCTTTTATAAAATCAGAGTTTTCTTCAGTGATATTTTTTTTTTTCTCCTTTCAAAAGACAGGTGAGAGTAGGTCTGAAATAGTCATTTTCTCAGCTTGATTCCATGGATGGACAGGACTGAGAGGAGTTGAATGAACAGCAGCACATGTGGCTGGGATTATCCAGAAATCTTGCTGTTACTGAAATGGAGCTGCAGTAGGTCAGTGGTATTCTCTTTGGAAACTGTTGAGCTTCCAGTTTGGGGAATGAAGCTGCCTTTATTTAAAAGCCACTTTCACACAGATAAATGTAAAAATGCAGGATCTTTAATTGTTGTAGAAGCAGCTGGAGAGTGATCTGCAAAAATCATGTGGCCACTAAATATGTTCTAAGAAAATCCTATAACCAAGGAAGCAATATAAAATTATGTTACAGTGATTAAGTGCTACCTTAATGCCTTTTGTTCACTCCTTATTTCCTTAATTATTTTCTTCTTGACTAAGCTAAACTTAGCCCTAAAGTCCTGAAAAAAAAAAATACCAAGGTCCCTTTTAAACCACTTAAGGCAGAAAAGTAATTCTCCCTCCTTGTAACACTGATTTCTTTTCAGGTTTGGAGAGTGATGGTTTTGTTCACTAAATCAAGTCTGACACAGGGAATGCTGCTCAGGGTGATCTGTCCTGCATCACAGGGGAGGCCCAATTTGGCTGTTCCCTCTTCCCACCTCCAGATCTGGCTGCTGGAGATACCTCTGGGTATGTTGTTAATATAAGCCCTTTAAAAATGACTGTTTAAAATCATGTCTGTGGGATCTGCACCTCGCTGGGTGGTGTTTCCCTGCCCACTTCAGGATTTCTTCATCTGAAATCCATTATCCCCAGCCAGATGGGAAGGATTCAGAAGGCACTGTTTTCCCTGTAGTAGGCTATACATAAAACACTCTTAAAGGTTATGCAATTTCCTAACACAGTAATTATAGATTGAGCTAAATAATAGAGGAGCAGAGATGGGGTTTTTTGGGATCTTAATTGCCTGGCTACTCCAGCCTCTCCTGCAAACTGCAGGCATCCCAGGAAATTGGGAAACCAGCTGTGACAGCCAACAAAAGGCAGCACATTCCCTCTGAGCTGGCATTTACTCCCTCCTCCACTCGTGTCTCAGGGCTGAATCCACGCCCAAGTGCTGTGTGTGCCTTGGCTTGGTGGATCCCAGCCTTTGTGTGGAAGTGCTGGGGGTCACCCAGAGCAGCTCTAGGAGTTCATTCCGTAACTCCTGTCCCTGCAAACACCTGGAGCAGCCCTGTGAGGTGTTGCAGGTGATGGAGTTGAGACAAGATGTGATGTTTTAGCTCCTCCTGGGAGAGGACAGTTCACAGAGCTCTCGTGTCAGGCTGCTGCCGTGTTCTCCCTTAAGCTTTCCATTCATTCCCAGTGCTTCCCAGGCTCCAGTCTGGTGGCTGCTGGTGTGAAACACAGCGGAACACTCCGATTCTTTGCTTTCCTGCTCGTCTCCCATATTTAATCACATATTATCAGGGTTGGATTTGCCCCCTCTTGGAGGGGGACACCTGCCCCCCTGAAGTCCCTGACACCCCCTTTGCAGATTCCCAGTGTCTTCCCAAGCTTCCAGGTGCTGTGGCAGTGCCCAGCTCTGGCTCTTCCCTGTGCCACTGCCTTACACCCCTGCTGACCCCCTGCTTCTGCTCTTTTGCACACACTAATTGTGGAACAAGCTGGACACTGAGGGCCCCACCTCCAAATTTTGGGGTCAGTCAATGAGGACACTCTGCCATTTACCAAAAAAAAAAAAGAAAAAAAAAAAAAAAAAAAAAAGAAGGGAAAAGGAACTAACTTGCACAGTTTTCATAAGGGAATTATGTACCTTCAGTATTTTGATTGTATTGATCTAACTCTTTGAATGTGGCACTGGGTGAAGTGCACTCCTGTTGCATAGGATAGAACTTCAAATTGCACTGTACAGCATTCTGGTGTCTCGTGTGTGCTTTGCTCCAGCCTTGGGGAGTGCTCTTGTGTGTCCAGGCTCCTGTGGGAGGGGGAGGGGGGGAAGGTGTATCCCAGCACTGCCTGCATTTCGTGATAGCAGCACTGTGTGGTGTGTGCTCTGTATCTGTTCACTGCTGCCAGTGCAAGTGATGAGTGCACTGCCCTCCCAACATCTTGGGAAATGCTGTTTGGACTTGGCTGCTGCGTCAGTCTTGATTCTCCTTGTAAAAATTGCAATAGCAGGGCTGGGAGTTGTGCTGTTTTCGGTGTGTGCTGTGCGTGTACAGAACCCCAGCTGCTGTGGTGTGGGATATACTGCAAAACAAAAACAAAACAAAAAAAAAAAGGTAACAAATCTGAGGAAAAAAAGATCATGTTCAGCCATTTGGGGGGAGAAAAACAGGTACAAAGTGGCTGTAAACTTTGCTGTAGATATGCTGAGAATATAGTAGATGTGTCTGTTTAAATTAAAATCTTGAAGACTAAAAAGTTCTTTAATTATAGTGCTGAATCTTTATTGGTGCGGCCTCTGCTTCCTACTGTGTGTGTGACCTGGATGTGAGTTCTTGCCTGAAATTTTAGCTCTTTTCAGCTCATATGTGTTTTATTTCACAGCTGAACAGGTTCTGTGATGGTAGAAGAGGGATGGAAGGAGAAAGTTGAGACCCTGAGGCTGTGAGAAGCTGGCAGAGCTCTGAGAGCAAGGCTTTGGTCCTTGGACACCAGCTCTGCACATGATGGATAAATAATTAGCTTGGCCAAGGTTTTCTGCTGGTGTTGATCTCTCCAAAGGAAGAGGGGCAGGGGTATTCAAAGGGAAAGGGGTTTGGACTGAAGCAAAGCCCTGCAAGAAGGGAGATGGTGACAGGAGAAGAGGGACTGGTTTTAAGCTGAAAGAGGAGATTTAGGTTAAGTATTGAGAGGAAATTCTTGCCTATGAGAGTGGTGAGGCCCTGGCACAGGTTGCCCAGAGAAGCTGTGGCTGCCCCATCCCTGGAAGTGTCCAAGGTCAGGTTGGATGGGACTTGGAGCATCCTGGGCTAGTGGAAGGTGTCCCTGCCCATGGCAGGGGGTTGGAATGAGATGGTTTTTAAAGTCCCTTCCAACCCAAACTGTTCTATGACTATGAAGTCCATCAGTAGACCTGCAGTCCCAGTTACCTGTTGTTTTTGAGGGAAGAGGTGTGCACCTGCCAGGGGAAGAAACAAAAAAAGGCCAAGCAGCTCTTGGGAAATGGAGGCTGGGAACTGTGGAAGCTCCTGGATCTCTCCCTGCTGGTGAGTCAGTAGTCTGGGAACCACTGGGCTCTCTGTTTCCCTGCAGTGTCATCTGTGGTCTCTGCAACTCCTTGGGAAGGTGATGAGTTTTTGTGGCTTTTGGTGTTGGAGCAGATGGAGACTGGGGGTGTGTGTGCAGCCCCATGTGATAACACAGGGAAAGGTGCTGAAGGTTTTGATGTGAAAAGATTAATTTCCAGTCCCTCTTTTTGCAAAATGTTTCTGAAAGTCCCAGCTGAAACAGAGTAGGTCTATTTAAAATACTTTCAGCTGTGATCAGGCAACCTGATCTGGGTTAGGCTTGATTTTGGGAGGGGAAGGGAGGGAGAAAATGACTAGAAAATCATGGAATGGGTTGGTTTGGAAGGGACCTTAAAGATCATCCAGTTCCAACCCTTGCCATGGGCAGAGACACCTTCCACTATCCCAGGTTGCTCCAAGCCCTGTCCAACCTGGCCTTGGACACTTCAGGAGTCCATCTGACCAAGGGTTGAAATTTGGTTTTATTCAACTTCTTTTTTTTTTTGAGACTGTTGGCATTTCTGTTTTGAAAACCCAAGTGCTTCTGTTTAGTGCCACTGCAGGACTCTCTTCCATGCTGCCTGTTCTTCCCCTAAGCAGTGAGAGGAGACAATGAGGAGGATTTGCCATTGCACATGGGCTGGAACTTGGTGATGCTGGTCTGTGTTGGCTGCTCACAGCTTCCCCTGCTATGGGAATGTCATGACAAGCCCCTGGCATTTGTCTTTCAGAGCTGAGCTGGTGATCCTTTGATGTTCTGCTGTGAGGGTGTTGCTGATGGATTCAGATACTTTATCTGATGCTGCAGCTCAGCTAATGGAGGGTTTGCTCCTAAAGCTCCAAATCTGCTCCCTCAGTATGTCAAAGTGCTGGCAAACAACCCAACCACTGCACTGAGTTGGGGCAACCCTTGGGATCAATCCAAGCTGGGGATGAACAGATGGAGCAGCCCTGGGGAGAAGGACTTCGGGTGCTGGTGGGGGAGAGGCTGGACATGACCTGGCCATGGGCACTCCCAGCACCAGAAACTCCCCATGTCCTGGGCTCATCCCACAGCGTGGGCAGCAGGGGAGGGGGGGATTCTGCTCCTCTGCCCCTTCAGGTGAGACCCCACCTGCAGAGCTGCCTCCAGCCCTGGGGAACAACAGCACAGGGACGTGGAGCTGCTGGAGAGAGTCCAGAGGAGGCCACGGAGATGCTCCCAGGGCTGGAGCCCCTCTGCTCTGGAGCCAGGCTGGGAGAGCTGGGGGTGTTCACCTGGAGAAGAGAAGGATCCAGGGAGATCTGAGAGCCCCTTCCAGTGCCCAAAGGGGCTCCAGGAGAGCTGGAGAGGGACTTGGGGCAAGGGATGGAGGGACAGGAAACCGGGAATGGCTTCCCACTACCAGAGGGCGGGGATAGATGGGATATTGGGAAGGAATTGTTGTCTGTGAGGGTGGAGAGGCCCTGGCACAGGTTGCCCAGAGAAGCTGTGGCTGCCCCATCCCTGGAAGTGTTCCAGGCCATGTTGGACGGGGCTTGGAGCAACCTGGGCTAGTGGGAGGTGTCCCTGCCCACAACAGGGGGTTGGAATGAGATGAGCCTTAAGATTCCTTCCAACCCATCCCATTCTGTGATTCTGTGACACACAGACTCACTGTGGTAAGATGTGTGTTACACCAGTCTTAAAAACACTGATTTAGTTACTTAATTCAGGTTTGTTACAGCTTGTGGAGTTTCCAGCACTGCACATCCCAAATTGGTGCTGGCACCATCCAGGATGGTCTCTCTCTTGACATGAAAAACACTTGTGATGCCCCAGCAAGGTAAGTGCAACATTTCCTTTTGGCTTGTAAATAAATCCCTGATGGTATGAAATCAAAACTTCCTGGCAGGAATAAAGGTTGTTTTAGAGTTTGGGCTTTTTGTTTTAAACAGAGAACTGCTTGTCCCCTCTGTGCTGTGCTTCATCTTATCACCTGCCATTTTTTGGGGTGCTTGGAGCGTCTAAGCTCCCATGGCTGTATCCTACATGGCTGGGGAGTCTGGAAATCTGTGGATTAGGTGTGATGTAGGAACATCCTGAGATCCCACTGGATCTGAACCTTTCTCCCTGAAGACTTGATGACATTGCTTCTGGAGTGGAGGATTCTCTCTGTTTCTTACTGAATGGTTTGGGTTGGCAGGGACCTTAAAGCTCATCCAGTTCCACCCCCTGCCATGGCAGGGACACCTCCCACTAGCCCAGGTTGCTCCAAGCCCCATCCAACCTGGCCTTGAGCACTTCCAGGGATGGGGCAGTGACAGCATCAGTTATTTTGGGGACAGAGTAGTGAGTTAAACCCAGGGCTCTGGTGTCCACAATTCCTCACTTTGGGAAGGAGGGAAAAAAAAGGAAGCTGTGCCCTTAAGGGACACTTGCACAACATCCAGTACATGAAGTGTCCTGGCTGCACTGCCAGCACTTGGCAAAGCTGTCATTTCACAATTGGAAGGCTATGGCAATGCTGAATTAAAAAAAAACTTTATTCTGTTCTTATCCACCTCTTTTTCCTCCTCACTTGTGCTGGTCCAGATGTTTGTGATTCCACGTGGCACAATGGATTGGAGAAATGGGTGGAAAAGTAACCCAGAGCAGAGGGAAAAGCCCTGCAGCTGAGTCAGCAGCTGTGGTGCTAAAAGTTGCAGTGATGCTTTTAGGAATTCATTCACAGGGGAGATTTGTAGGGGAAATCCCACCTGACCTGTTGAAGCGAGTTCAGAGGAAGCCATGGGGATCTTCCAAGGGCTGGAGCATCTTCACTGTGGAGACAGACTGGGAGAGCTGGGGGGTTCAGCTGGAGAAGAGAAGGGTCTGGGGTAACCTGAGAGCCCCTTCCAGTGCCTAAAGGGGCTCTAGGAGAGCTGAAGAGGGACTGGGGGCAAGGACCTGGAGGGACAGGACATGGGGAATGGCTTCCCACTGGCAGAGGGCAGGGATAGATGGGATACTGGGAAGGAATTGTTGTCTGTGAGGGTGGGGAGGCCCTGGCACAGGTTGCCCAGAGAAGCTGTGGCTGCCCCATCCCTGGAAGTGTCCAAGGCCAGGTTGGATGATACTTGGAGCAACCTGGGCTAGTGGAAGGTGTCCCTGCCCATGGCAGGGGTTGGAACAAGATGATCTTTAAGGTCCCTTCCCACCCAAACCCTTCTGTGATTTTATGGCTTAATGAGCTGTCATCTAAGATTGTCACTGCAGCTGGATCCTCATGTAGACTGGAAGGACAATTCCCTTTTTATTTGTATTTTTTTAGGAACCAGACTGGGGTTTGGGAGACCGAAGTCCTGGCCCTACCACTGCCACAGGTTTGCTGGTGTCATCTCAAGTGAGTCACTTCACCAGGGAACCAAAGCACAGTGGGTGCAAGTTCAGCAAGGGCAGAGGGGAGCAGGGTGAGACCACAAAACCCCACGAAATGTGTAGGAGGGGGTGGGAGGGAGATCAAGCCTGAGGTTCTGGGAGAGGCTGTTGCAGAAAGCTTTGAACAAGCGGCACTTCTGGATGCCTCGTGGGAAAGGGGAGGAAAAAGGCAGTGGTGTAGAGTGGGGAGAGTGACAGGAACACCCTTAGAGCCACCATGGCTGCCTAGGAGAGCATGGGCAGTGCTTGTCTGCTCGTGGAGATTCCCAGCAGCAGAAGTCATTCCCAACAAACCCTGGTCACCATCCTGGCAGTGCTCAGAGTCCCAACATGGAGAAGTCCCTCACCACAGGCTGTGCAAAGGACCCTCAGGAATTTCCAGCTTACTGTGTGTTAATAACCTGCCCCTCCTGGAGGGTGGGAATGGTCTGGGGCTTCTGTTGGTCCTGGGTGACACCCTGTTAAGTCTGTTGCAGTTTTGGAACTGTTTGAGGCAGGAAGAAATGGGATCAACTGCTGAGGAATCAGATCCCTCAGGGACTGGCTGCATATGTTGCTCTCCAAATCAGGAGCATCCCTGGATTTCAGCTCCCTGGATTTCTTTCTGCTGAGAAACCTCAACACCCACCCCATATCTGACTTTCCCTTCCCTCTCATTAATGGCCTGGAGAGGCAGAGCAGCTTGTTGGAACATGTTCTGCTCTTTTCCCCTTGATTTGCATTCCCAATATTCCCCCACTACTCTGTTACTGAACTTCAGGCTGTTTTTTTATGTTTGAAGTCTTTTGGACATGGATTTATATTAAATAAAAAAAAAAAAAAAAAATAATAAAAAAAAAGCCAGACAATAAACAAACCCAGAAAACATTGAAATCCAGATAACAAGAAAAATATAAACCATACAAACTTCTCAGTAGCCTGTAACCCCTCTTTCTCTCTCCCTGGAGCATTTTTTTGGGGCATGCACAGAGATTCTCTGAGCAGGATTGGAACAAGCTGGCCAGGGAAGCAGTGGAATTGCCCTGGAAGTGTTCAAAAGGTTATGTGGATGTGGTACTTGGAGACATGGTTTGGCCATGGCCTTGGCAGTGCTGGGAAAACAGTTGCACACAGGTGAGGACTGTCATAGAATCACAGAATGGTTTGGGTTGGAAGGGACCTTAAAGATCATCTTGTTCCAACCTCCTGCCACGGGCAGGGACACCTTCCACTAGCCCAGGGTGCTCCAAGCCCCGTCCAACCTGGCCCAGTGAGCTCCAAGGCTGTGCTGACCGGAGAAAAACACCCAGGGTGTCTTTGCTGCCCACACTGGTGCTCGCTGGGTGGGAGGATCACCCTCAGCTGGTTGCTGGAATGGAACATCCACGCTGCTGAGATGCCATCACCCATCTAGAGGGCTTGAGTTTTCTTCCCTTTAGGATTTTCTGCCTTCCCATGTTGATGGTTTTACTCTTGCCCCGTGGAGCTGCTGCCATCACATTGACATTCCTACCTCTGCCCTCGGTTTCACCTTTCTTATCTCCCAGGGCTCTGTGCTCTTTCCCATGAGCTGGCAACCTCCTCAGCTCTGGGAGGAGGGTTTTCCAGCTGGGCTGTGTCAGGGAGGCCTTGAATTGCAGCTGAACCCAGAGGACAGGGCTGTTCAGGGTCAGCTTTCTGCTCACTCCATCCTGCTGCTTCTGTGCCAGTTTAATTCTCCAGGTGTTGGCTCAGTGCTGGAGGAGGGGAATGGTTTATGGAACCACTCCTGATCTGCCATCCTGGTGTGATCCTGGTCTGGAAGAGAACTTTACTGTGTGTCCAGGGCAGGGAATGGAGCTGGGGAAGGGGCAGGAGCACCAGGAGGCACTGAGGGAGCTGGGGGGGCTCAGCCTGGAGAAAAGGAGGCTCAGGGGAGACCTTCTGGCTCTGCTGTTCCCTGACAGGAGGGGGAAGCCGGGGGGAGTCGGGCTCTGCTCCCAGGGAACAAGGGACAGGACAAGGACAAACAGCCTCAAGTTGCACCAGGGGAGGTTCAGGTTCGATATCAGGAGGAATTTCTTCATGGAAAGGGTTTTTAAACAACAGAAGGGGCTGCCCAGGGAGGTGGTGGAGTCTCCATCCACAGAGGTGTCCAAGAAACGACTGGACAGTGCTCTGGGCTGGATGACAAGGTGGGGATTGGTCACAGGTTGGACTTGATGATCTTGGAGGTCTTTTCCAACTAAACGATTCTTGGATTTACATTGATCCAGCTGAGCAGATACAGCAAAGCCCTGGGTGCTCCAAGCACATCCTTCCTGAGCAGAAAACGCCCTTTTCTTCCCCTCTCTGCACTCTCAGGGTCGTGGGGACAACAGGATCTCTGCTTTTTCCCTCTGCAGCATTCCAGGTGACTGTGCCTGCCCTGACTGCACAGTGCTCTTCCCTGGAGCAGCCACTGAGCCCTGGCAGAGGCTCTTCCCTTCCATTTGGTGGCAGACGACTCAGCCTGGAAAAGGGATTGCTGAGGTGATGATAGGATGGAAGTCTGAGATATATTGGCCTGGAGAATCATGGAGTGACAAGATAGGTGAGATTGAAAAGGACCACTGGAAGCAATTCTTCCCTGTCAGGGTGGGGAGGCCCTGGCACAGGTTGCCCAGAGAAGCTGTGGCTGCCCCTGGATCCCTGGAAGTGTTCAAGGACAGGTTGGACGGGGCTTGGAGCAACCTGGGATGGTGGAAGCTGTCCCTGCCCATGGCAGGGGGGTGGAGTGAGATGGTTTTTAAAGTCCCTTCCAACCCAAACCATGACTCTGTGGAGTCCAACCCAGCTGCTGGTGGCCTTTGAGGCACCACAGAGGGTCGGATGACCCTTTAATTTGACTTTTTTTGCACATTCTGCTCAGTCTGTAGCAGACGGTGCTGACACTGCTGACACTCTGCAGCTTTGCCTCTCCGAGGGCATTAACTGCACTTTTTGAAGGCTCTGCCGTGGAACAAGAGACTTCTTTGTGTTTGTTTTCCTCCTGAAGCTTTCCCTCTTTTCAAGAGGGACAGCTGTTTTGGCGAATGGTGCTTAACAGTCCTTTCAAACTCAATTAGGCACACTTGGGAGCCAGGAGTTGTGAGCACTCGGCTTCCACAGCCAGCAAAGGATTTTCCCCTCTGTTATAGCGCGATTTTCCAAGATTTCCAGACTCTGTGAGCTGAGCTTTTAGTAACTGGCCATTTGTTCGTGTCTGGAAGCCTCGGGAATAGTGGCCAGCCCTGCTTTGTTTGCTCTCTGAGCTTTGAACGATTTCATTCATTTTTCATTCATTTTTTAAGAGAGGGGGAAAAAATAAAATTAAAAACATAAAATTAAAAAAAATAACATCAAAAACTGAAAATTAAAAAATAATCAGGCTCTGCCCCAACCCTGAACTGACTCGTGTCTTAACATTCACAGCAAATTCCAGGGATTTTTCTGTTGGCAGGCTTGACAACAAACCATCCCTGCGTTTAAATAGTGAAACCCGAGTGCTTTATCCTTTTGTCTCAGTGCATATCAGGGCGCAGTGTTTGTGTAGGGTCTCCTCCTGCCCCGGAGCCGTGCCCGGGTCCTGCCCATCCAGGCGGGAAGGGATGTGATTAATCCCTGTCAGACGCGGTTGGCTCTGCCTCTGATCTCCGGGCTGGGGAGATCTCTGGGTGTGCACTGGAGGGTTTTATTTTTGCTTAGTAGAGCTCTCTGAAAGGTTTTCCCCTGATACTTTAATGCTCATCTTTGTCCTGAATGAAAATTAAGACCTAAATATCTCTTTTTTTTTTTTTTTTTTCCTGAGATTGCTCTTTCCCTGGATGGAAAATTCCCAACCTGCTTGAGTTGGCAAGCTCTGGTTTTCAGCTAAAGCATATGCTGATGTATGTTTATATCTTGCTGCAACAAAAAGCTGTGGGTAAATCAAGAGCTGAAGGCAGCAGGCAGTTCCCTTCCCCACCCCAGCAGTCCTCATGTTGCCAGTGGGAGGGTGGAAAAATGGCAATTACAGTTCAGTCTGCAGGAAAATGGCAGCAAAACTATACTAATAAAATATAATTCCAGCTTTATTAGCTGTCCTACAGATAATACTGTAAATTCAGGAAGAATTTCTTCATGGAAGGGGTTGTCAAACATTGCAAGGGGCTGCCCAGGGAGGTGATGAAGTCCCTGTCCCTGGAGGTGTCCAAGGAAGGACTGGACGTGGCACTCAGTGCTCTGGGCTGGGGGACAAGGTGGGGTTCGGTCACAGGTTGGACTTGATGATCTTGGAGGTCTTTTCCATCCTAAATGATTCTATGAAATGCAAAAAGATGGAGAAAATCTGACCTACAGCAACCACTGCCTGAGAGATGTCACGTAAGAAGAAAGAATAACCTGCTTTTATTTCAATAAAAGGACCATTAAACTCCAAGAGCAAAGTTTGCAGCCTCATCATGCTACATTATAGTGATTATCCACTAGCACTGGCTGGAAAATGGAATTCCTAAGTGCTTTTGCCTCTCCCTGCCTCAGTAACCTGATGCCTTATTACCCTCCAGCAAAGGCAAGGAATTCTTAGGCACATTTTTCCCTGGCACCCTGCAAGCTCCTGCTGGCTGCTCCATGGGCTGGACAGCTGGGAGAGGCTGGAGAGGCTGTGGGAAAGGTGCCTGCCTGTTCCTGGAGCATCCAGCACTCTCCCAGCTCCTGATAAATGGTTTTGCAGCTGTGGAAAGGGCTCCAGTTTGCAGAGATGGCTGGTTTGGATTTCATTTTAAATGCATTTCAAGTCTTCTGTCCTGGAGTTTCCCTCTGAGATCTCCTGTCAGAACCAGCTTTGTTTTAGAGTGTGAGTTTTGAGGTTAATTGATCAGGACAGTTGAGGAATGAGGGATTTAAGTCGGTGAGACCTCGCAGATTTCATGGAATGCATGGTTGTGTTTTTAGCAGGCTTTTCTCAGGGTGGTTCATGGGGGTTACCCTGTTCAAGAGCAATGAAATCCAGTGTTTCCCTGGACCATTATGAGCTACAACCTTCCAGTACCTAAAGGGGGCTTCCAAGAAGGCTGGAGAGGGACTTTTCACAAGGGCATGGAGTGACAGGACAAGGGGAAATGGATTCAAACTGAGGGTAGGTTTAGATTAACTTCGAAAAAATTCCTTCCCTGTGAGGGTGGGGAGGCCCTGGCACAGGCTGCCCAGAGAAGCTGTGGCTGCCCCTGGATCCCTGGAAGTGTCCAAGACCAGGTTGGACAGGGTTTGGAGCAACCTGGGCTAGTGGAAGGTGTCCCTGTCCATGGCAGGAAGTTGGAATGGGATGATCTTTAAGGTCCCTTCAAACACAAACCCCTCAGTGATTTTATAGTTCCACACTGAGCAGTTGTGAACCAACTCCCAGATCTGGTAAGTCACACCTTTTACAGGTTTAAACACCTGACAAGAAAACTTTTTGTTCTATTATCACGTGAAACCTGAGTCCTTTTAATAAACTCACTCTTCATTCTCCAGAGTCTATTCAACAAAACCGTGCTCAGTAAACAGAGTTGGGAAAGTGGCTTTTCACTGATTGCAGGGTTTTCCTTCTCTGCTTTATTCCCTTGCAGACCCTGATTTATGACACATCCTGTCAGGCTGTAACTGCCCTCAGCCAACTCTACCTGAGGCTTCCTCTTGGCCAGCTGTGATGGTGGGAGCAGAAGAGCAGGAAACACCGATGTGGGACTGGTGAACACCTGAACATTCCCCACTGAACTGTTTTGTGTCCCAGGGCTGCTTCCTGGTGTTCAGCAGTTTCCATCTCTTGGGGCAGATGGAGGTAAATCATAGAATCATAAAATATCCTGAGCTGGAAGGGACCCACAAGGATCATCAGAGGAGGGTGGTCATCTTCCACCCTCCATGTCCTGCTTGGTCAGTGCTGGTTTTTCTTCCCCTGTAATGTTCAATACTTGCTCCTGCCAATCTTTTCTTGCCATGGGTTGCAGAGGTGTGGGTTTGGGGTCAATACTGTGTTTTCCTGCTAATTACAGAGGCACCAACTAGTGAAACAGTCCACAACTACAGGGGGCTCCAGATGCCAACCTTGCACTGAGGTGCCCACGGCAGGGGGTTGGAACAAGATAATCTTTAAGGCCCCTTCCAACCCAAACCATTCTTGGGATATTTTCCAGATTCTAGTCATTGCTGATTTTTATTTAATGAGAATGAATATGGAATTATTTAGACAAACCCCACTTTTTGTCCCTAAAGACGATTGTTTTTTGGTGGTTTTTTTGTTTGTTTTGGGGTTTTTTGTTTGGTGGTTTTTTGTTGTTGTTTTTTTTTCTCTTTTTTTTCTTTTTCTGAGATTCTTTTTGTCAAGAACCTCCAATCCATCTTCAAGGGGTGTAAACCACCACAAAAAAAAAAAAAAAACAAAAAAAAACAAAACAAACAAACAAACAAACAAACAAACAAAAAACCCAAAAAAAAAAAAAAAACAGAGCAGGCCACTCCTTCTGGATCAGATGGTCATTTCCCATTTTCTTGGATTCTCAGCTTTTTAGGAAGCTGCGTTGACAGCAGAACAAAGTTACAAAAACCACGGCACCAGGATGTTTTTCCAAAACCTGACTTGCATTCTGTGCTTTGCCAACCTTCTCCTCCCCAGCATCAAGGGGTCCAAAGGCTGTTAGGGTGGTCTGTTTGCTCTTAGCTGAGCATCCCAGCAACTGCAGGATTGGATTGGAAAATCCTTTCCATCAAAACCCTTTTCTCCTGGGGCTCAAACCCTCACTTGTTTTGGGTATGTACCAGCCCAGGTATGCACAGAACAGCCCAGTTGTCCTCCTGGAAGGTCAGATCCAGATGAACCTTGATAAAGGAGGACAATTAAATTGATTGCATTACTGACCACGTTCTCTGTGGCGTGTGATAAACTTGGTGTAAACTTTGTCTGAATTATTAAACAGTCTGGTTTTCATTCCTTAACCCTTTGCTGTGCTGCAACATCTGCTCACCTCAGAGACCTGAGGGAGCTTGTTTTCATACCAGGTTTTGTGCTGTTTAGAGGACACAGGCCTTTGGGAAAGCAGGCCATGATTTACTGGACAGGGAAGACTTACTGTGAACAAACTCACTCCTACTGAGCTAAGAGTGTTTGGTCTGCTCCTGCTTAGACTGGAACCTCATCCTTGTCATTAGCTGCACTAATTATGCATCTTGTTTCCTACTTGAAATGAATCCCTGGGTGGAAACTTGCCCTGTGAATGCCAGTGAGGAAGGAGGGAAAATGGATGTTCTGTGCACTCCAGACACGTTGGTGAATCCAGTTCTGCCAAATCAGCTGCTGAGGGTTTATAACATTTCCCTTCTGCCTTTGTTTCTGGCTGTGGTTATTCATTTCTGTTACAAGGATGAATATTTGGCCTTTACAGAAGGTGTGAAGGGCAAGGAGATTGGTTGGAACTTACTCCTTCTGTCCTTAGCCTTCCATGTGGTGTTTTTAGCACTGCTGGAAAACTGGAAAAGCCATCATAGAATGGTTTGGGTTGGAAGGGACATTAAAGCTTATTTAGTTCCAACCCCCTGCCCTGGGCAGGGACACCTTCCACTAGACCAGCTTGCCCAGGGCCAGATCCAACCTGGCCTTGTCTCCAAAAGAAGTGAAAGTCACTTTAAATTACAGCACTGCCCCCTGAGAGCTCCCTGTATCCACTCTGAGGTGTGAAATCCCTGCTTGAGGGCAGGTGACAACATTCCACAGGCAGGTGCCCACGGAGGGTGTGACTCAAGGCCTGATTTTTCCCTCAGAAGTCCCTCATTTCCCTCACTTAAATCACTGTTATATTTGGGATGCTTCCTTCATCCATTTTGTTTGCTTGGATGTGAAGGTGCAAGGCAGGGCATGGGGAAGTACAGGAGAGTGTTCAGGGAACAGACGAAGCTGTTTTCTTCCCCAGAATAACAGATGTATCCCTTGGAGATCCAGGAATCCCTGCTGGCTCCTTGCAGTGCGGGTCAGAGCTTCTTGAGGGTTGTGTAATCTTCAGAACTCCAATCAGTGGCCTTTTGGGGGTACAGTCTCAGGATAAACACTCGTTATTTTATGTGTTTATTGGAGAAGCAGCAAGAAACGGGGAGAGATTCAGGTGCTAAAGAGAGGAGGTGGGTGAGACTCTCCCTGCCCTGAGACAGGATCCACTCAGCACGTCTCTGCTGATGGATCTGACCTAACCTGTTCTTGAATCTCTTGGCAACACAACTCTGCTCCCCCCTCAGGTGACCTTTCCAGGACTTCCTTACAGCTAAAGATTGGTCCTAATGACTAATCTTGCCATTATTTGAGCGCTTGCCTTCAAAATCAATATATTTGTGGGTTTTTTTGGTGGTGGTGGTGGTGCTTCACACTGTAAGATTGGCCCCTTGTCCCCTCCAGCTGCTTCTGCTCTTCACAGGGCTGTTTCCTTCCCTTTTCCCCAGCATTTGATAATTCTTGTTGCTGTGGACTGTCCTTAATTGTGTCTCATCCCTCTTTAATGCCTGAACGTGGCACTCAGTGCTCTGGTCTGGTTGACAAGGTGGTGATGGGTCAAAGGTTGGACTGGATGATCTTGGGGGTCTTTTCCAACCTTGACGGTTCTGTGATTGTAGAACCAATCGCCACGAGGGTGGAAATTAGAACTGTGGATGTAAAAGAAACCAGATCCTCAGTCTGCCATCAGTGCATGAGCAGAATTCCTGTGTGTCCCAGGGGGAGCTGCCCTTGCAGGGTTGTTATTCTCTGGTCACAGAAAGGTGTTGCTTATAAGAAAACAGCAACACAGAAGCACCTGGGGAGCACTGGAGGCTTTAATCTGGTCCAGTGCAGTGCAAGAATTTCTCTTTACACAGAGAAATGTGACTGCAGTCCCCAAGGTGTGAGCACCCAGTGCTGGGGTTAAACCTCCTGCAGGGGCTCTGCCTCCTCTGAGCGGCCTTTCAGGCAGGGATCTCACACACAGTGTGATCTCCAGGTGGGAGATGCCACCAGCAGAGGCATTCCTCCTCCTCAGCCTACCTGGAGGGCCAACACCTGTGTTTTCACTTTGCTGGAGCTCACTGGGAGGGGAATGATGCCAGGGGAATGTGTTTAAAAACAAACCATCTGTGGTTCACGCAGTGCTTCACCCCTCATTAAAATAAAAATAAATAAATAATTAGACAAGACAAATCTAACTGGACCAGAGATCATCAAGCTCATTCTTTTAATTAAAAAAAAAAAATGGTTTCTAACTAAAATCTTCCCCTTTTTTTCTTCTCCAAGGAAGCAGCAACCCAGTGTGACACACGTGTGTGGGTGCAGAAGCGACACCAGTCACTCACAGAGGGAAGATGAGACCTGGCTGTGATCAGTGGGAGGTTCTCCTGTGCTGCCAACTCGATGTGACACCTCCCTGTGCCCGGGCACAGCCCGTGTCACATCTGCTGGGGATGATGAGCATCAGGGTCAAACCAGTTCAGCACCACAGGGAGAAGATGTTTCTCCTTTTCACATCCCGTGTGGCTGAGCTGTCACATCAAGGCCAAGTTCAGTCTCCCTCCCTGGCAACTCTTTGTGGATGTTGTGGCACATGTGGACACAGCAGGAGCTCGGACACTTTGCTCATCAGGGCTGAGGGACATAAGGCCATACAAAATCCAGGCAAAACTCCACTTCCTTATTAACCTGTCTCTGGGCAGTGGCAAAAGCTTCTGGAAAAAACAGGAATACAGCCTGGGATACCTTTGTGGGACTCCCTTGTAGTGGGCCCACAAGGAATCCTGAGAGGGAGCCTTCGTCAGGAACTGTGGTGAGAGGACAAGGAGTAATGGGCTCAAATTAAAAGAGGGGACATTTAGGTTGGATATGTGGGAGAAATTCTTCCCTGCGAGGGTGGGGAGGCCCTGGCACAGGTTGCCCAGAGAAGCTGTGGCTGCCCCATCCCTGGGAGTGTTCAAGGCCAGGTTGGATGGGGCTTGGAGCAACCTGGGAGAGGGAATGTGTCACGACCTGCAGGCAGTGCTCTTCCTAATGGTCAGGGACACTGCTGGATCATGGATAGCTTGTTGTCCACCAGGACCTCCAGGTCCTTCTCCTTCCTTCTCCCCCAGTCAGATGGAAAATTCTTCTCCCTCCAAGGAGGAATTCTTTAAGGGATCCAAGAGCACATTTCTGAGAGTTATAATGGCAGAAAGGTGTTTGAGTATTCAAAAACATTAAATCCAGAGCTCCATCATGAAGATGATAGAAGGGGAAAGTCCCCTAAGACCACAATCTACTGTGCTAATTAATGAAGGCAAGACTTCAGGAATAAATCAAGAATTAGACATTTGCTTTTCTACGTGGAGGTAGATGAAAAAGCAGAAGCTGGAAGGTGTTTTATCTCCTCTCTTCAACACAGTGAACAGTTTAAGACCTGTTTGCGGGCAGGAACTGAGCAAGATGGAAAGAGTATTATCTGCAGAACACTGTGAAATTCAACAGACTTCCAGAAAAGATAGGCAAGGTTTCAAAAAATATGGTTAAATGGGAACTCCATGTCAAAGGAGGAGGTTGGTTTGCTTTCCAGGAGCACCTTCAGATTCAAAGTGCTGCAGAGAGGGAGGGTAAACACGACTCAAGCACAAATAATTTTTAAAATGGAGCCTGATAAGCTCAGCACCACACAAAAAAGGCTCCATTGTGTGAATAACAATCGAGTGGGTCCAGCAAACAGATGTGACCCACACTTCACAAATATAATTACTGCACTGGGCTTCCTTGTGCCTCAGTGTTCTGCTTATAACAAATGGCCTTGAAAAACAGCATTTTTATAGAGAGGGGTTTGTTTGCAGAGCTCTGTGAGCTCCTCCTCTGCTCCTTGCTGTGCTGGGGCGGGTTTTGCTCATCACTCAGGGAACCCAACAAAGAGCATAAAAGCAACCACAGCAAATCAAGCAAAGGTTGTCCCAGTCCAGTTTCTTTGTCTCTACCAGCAGCTCTTTCCCCACAGAACTCTTGCAGACCTCTGTGATCTCCAGCTGAAGGACTTTCTGTATATTCACAGTCACTCCTCATTAAGGTTTTTCTCCTCCCCAAACTCAACCCATGTGCTTTTGAAACTCGGGTGAGTTTGTAGCATCCACACTGGATAGTATCCATCCATCCCATGTAATTTTGTGCCCTCTAATTACAGTAGCTAAGCTGTTACATAACCATCCCAACATCCCTGCCAAGGGGTGGAATTCATAAGCAGGAGGCAACGGGGAAAAAAAAAAGAAAGAAAGAGCTTACAAACACCTCTGTGGCAAAGCTAATCTTATCTCAAAGCCTTTGTTCCTAGGGGAGTTAATGTTTGGGGTTGTGAAAGATAGATGTGTTTGGAATAAGGGGAAAAAGAACATGTAGAAACATTGTTTGCTGGAAGTACAGCTCAGCAGAAGGAAGGAGGAGAAGGATCTGGAAGGTCTTTCCACAAATGCTGTTGGCAATGAGGATGAACTCAGGGACAGGAGGATTTGATCAGCTTCCATCTGAAGACTTTCTGTGGCCCATCAAAGCACTGATCCATCAAACACAGAGTTCTGTTTGCCCTCACCTTGTCCCCTTTGTCCTTTCAGAGGACATCCTACTGATCCCTAACTCTGGTCCCCTGAGAATGGGAACAACACACCAGCTTCCCCTTCTGGTAGCACCTTATGTTGTCAGAAGTCACCTTCTCCCTCAGCCAGAAACAGCAGGAGAACCTAAATGGCCTTCAAGGTCCCTTCCAACCCAAGCCATTCAATGATTCTATGATTCTAACCATGATTTAGGAGTGGGATTCCTAGGCTGCAAAACTCTATCACAGCAGGAGGCTGCTGGGAGATTTAGGAAGTGTGACACGGGATCAGATCTAATTCCAAAGACTTTGCACAAACTGCTCCAGGCTCTCTAATCCCTCCTGGTCACTCGTTAAGAGCTCCCTTAAGAAATTCCTGCTCCCTACAGCTTTGCTGGATGTCTAAGAAGTCGGGCAGTGCCTGGAATGCATCGGGATCCTTGGCCAGGACCCCACAAGAAGCGTGCAGAGTGGTCCTTGCTGCCTCCAGAAAGTGTGGGGTGGGGAGGGACCTTAAAGTTCGTCTCATTCCAACCCCCTGCAAAGATCAGGGACACCTTCCACCATCCCAGGGTGCTCCAAACCCCATCCAAGCTGGCCTGGGACACTTCCAGGAATGGGAAATCCGCAACTTCTCCGGGCAACCTGTGTCAGGCCCTCACCACCCTCACAGGTAAGAATAGCACGTGATGGGCTGAGAAGCAGAAGAGAAGGAGATTCATGACTCCAAGGCAAGAAAAGGACTGCAGGGAAGCTACAGAGAGAATTAGGTTGTCTGAGTGAAGGGCAGCATTGGAGAAATCAGGAAGAACTGGTGTGCAGAGGTCCCAGATGACTCCACGAGCTGCTGTGGGCAGTCACTTCTCCCTGGAGACTTGGCAGCCTTCCCAGGAGAGTTCACCACAGGCTTCACTCCACAGCTTTCCTGTTAGGTTACCAGGGCTGCACCAGCAGGGATCCTGGTGCCTCAGGTAACTCACCTCCTCTGCGCAACCCAGGGGGGTTCCAGGAGCTCATTTTACACCCAGGGGAGCTGTTTGCTCCAGCTACCTGTGCACCTCCCAGTCATGTGGAGAGGAGAAACACCAGGTGCCAAGGAGATCAGCATTTTCTGATGCAAACTGCAACCTGAGACAGGGAGACAGTCCAGAGGCCCTGCATACAGATGGGTGTCTCTGTGGGAATGACCTGGAAGGCACTGACACCCCAGAAACCCACTTTAACAGTGATGCATTTGGGGGTTAAAAAAGGATTTGTAGAAGTTGCCTTCTCTTTTGTTGATGTGAAACACCTGCATGGGGCCTTCAAATGGAGGACAATTCCCCAGAAAGGAAAATAAAGAAGCAGAATCTGTAAGAAAGAAGCACAGCTCCAAAACCTCAGCAGAAGTAGCTCTGGAGGACATGGGAAGGTGTAGGAGTGCATTTTTGTTTTGGAAGGCTTGTCACCTCAAGGAACACACACTCCTGTGGCTGAGATCCAAAAATGTTGAACCTGGATTCACAACCCACCAAGCACTTCAGCTTCTCTCCACTCAAGAAGAATGTGCTCATTCAAGCACTCTGGCCCTCTACGGAAATTCAGCAGCAGTGTTTCCAAAACAGAAATGTCTCCAATGGAAAGGGCCATCCTATCTCAGTTCAATATTCCTGATATGAAGTGGTTTCCCTCTCTAAGACTGTTTGACCTTTCCCTTCTAATGTCTGAGTGTCAGCCTTACCCCAGGGTCTACCCCTCAGTGAGATCCTTGCTGGGGACATGCAGCTCCACTGGCTTTATTCTCTTCGTGGCTTCCTACTTAAAAAACTTTGATGGGCTGAGTTCTTTTTTTCTCAGAGTAGCCACACCCATCTCCTGCACACAATCAGCCACCAGACTCTCTCCTGTGATACGGCAGAAGCTGCACAGGAGCTCAGTGAGCAGCTGGTGTGTCCTGATAAGGGGTATCTCCAGTTCTGAGGAGCAGAGTCACAGCTCAGGCAGCACAAACACAACGATTCCTACAGTCCATGCTCCAGCAAAGAGCCTCTTGACTGAACAAAGTCCCCCCTGTGTTGGTTTCTGCACGTGAGACCAACCAGGTGACTCTTTCTGCTGGGCTGAAGCCTCAGTCAACAAAGCCATTTAGGAACTGTGGCCCTCCACTGTGGCCCTGGGAGGGAAGGGAGAGACATCTCCTTGTTCGATATTTTAGGAAACAGATTAGAACCTAAGAGGTCCTGCCCAGCCACTGTGACCTCAGTGAGAGTGGGAACACCAGAAACCACTGTCCAATTCTTAGCAGGTGTTCATGTAGAACGGTCACTGGAAGGATGCAAAGACAGCAGAGGGAGTTTGAAAGGCAGAGGAGATTACAGCAAGTGAAAGATCACTTGGATATTGTAGCCCCTCTCTGATGTCTGGGCATTTAAGGAGCTGGTGATACAGCCTGGGAGAGACAATTGTACCTGTGATGTAAAGATGATGAGGGGACTGGAGCACCTCTCAGATGAGGAAAGGCTGAGGGAGCTGGGGCTGTTCAGCCTCAGGAAGAGACACTGAGAGGGGACCTCATCCATGTCTGTCAGTGAGGGGGCAGAGGATGGACCAGGCTCCGCTCAGGGGGGCCCAGCAATGGGTGCCCAGCACAGAAACTGATGCCCAGGAAGTTCCACCTGACCATGAGGAAGAACTTCTTTCCCGTGCAGTTACCGAGCACTGAACAGATTGTCCATGCAGGGTGTGAAGTTTCCCTCACTGGAGATATTCCATAAGTGTCTGGACACAATCCTGTGCCATGTGATCTGGGATGACCCTGCTTGAGTAGGGAGGATGGACCAGATGACCTACTGTGGTCCCTTCCAGCCTGACCCATTCTGGGATTCTGGGATTCCATGGCCAGTGCAGTGTTGTACCACAGCTCGGGGGGTGATTGGTGACCTACATCAGAAGGACATGGAGCTGTTGGAGTGAGTCCAGGAAGCCATGGAGATGCTCCAAGACCAGGAGCCCCTCTGCTCTGGAGATAGGCTGAGAGAGCTGGGGGTGTTCAACCTGGAGAAGAGAAGGATCCAGGAAGACCTGAGAGCCCCTTCCGATGTCTAAAGGCATTTCAGGAGAGCTGGAGAGGGACTTTGCACAAGGGCTTGGAGGGACAGGACAAGGGGGAATGGCTTCCCACTGCCAGAGGGCAGGGAGAGATGGGATATTGGGAAGGAATTCCTGGCTGTGAGAGTGGTGAGGCCCTGGCACAGGTTGCCCAGAGGAGCTGTGGCTGCCCCTGAATCCCTGGAAGTGTCCAAGGCCAGGCTGGACGGGGCTTGGAGCAACCTGGGCTAGTGGAAGGTGTCCCTGCCCATGGAACGAGATGATCTTTAAGGTCCCTTCCCACCCAAACCATTCCACGTCCAGGGGTTCCTGCTGTGTCTGCGCATCCCCGGGACTGTCCCCCCACCCGGCTCGGCTGGGCCTGGGGGGCCCCCGCCCCCTCCCCGCGGATGACGTCACGGCCCCATGACATCACTCAGTCCCCACCCCTGCTGACGTCAGACCCAGCCCCGGGAAAGCGGCTCCGGGACACGGACGGGGAGCGCGGCGGGTCCAGGGTGAGCGCGGCGCCGGTCCGGGGGGGAAAAGGGGGGGCTGTGGGTCCATGGGGGTTATTCTGTGAGTCCGTGGAGGCCGTTTTTTTGGGGGGGGATTTGTGGGCGCGAGGCCGCCCCGCTCCCGGCCGGGAGGGAATGAATGGGGCGGGGGAGGGGGAGCTGCGTCCCGCCCGCGCAGCCATCAGAGCCCTGCCCGGGAGCGGGGGCGGCTCCCCCGGCATCCTCCCGCGCCCCTCGGTCCCCTTTGGGGCAGGCGAATTTTGGTGCTCGAGCCCCATCGCGGCTCTTTTGTGCCGCTCACGCGGCCGGGAGGGTTGTGTTGGTGCTCATCACCCGCACCCGCTGCTTGGCTTCATCTGCGCACGGTGGGCAGGGAACGGAACCAGGAATGGCTTGGGTAGGAAGGGACATCAAGGACCGTCTTGTTCCAACGCCCTGCCATGGGCAGGGACACCTTACACTACCCCAGGTTGCTCCAAGCCCCATCCAACCTGGCCTTGAACGCTTCCAGGGATCCAGGGGCAGCCACAGCTTCTCTGGGCTACCTGTGCCAGGGCCTCATCACCCTCACAGGGAACAATTTCTTCATAAAATCCTATCTAAACTTACTTACTTTTGGTTTAAAGCCATTCCATCTTTTCCTGTCCCTCCAAACCTTTGTCCCAAGTCCCTCTCCAGCTCTCCTGGAGCCCCTTTAGGCACTGGAAGGGGCTCTCAGGTCTCCCTAGACCCTTCTCTTCTCCAGGTGAACCCCCCTAGCTCTCACAGCTCTGGCTCCAGAGCAGAGGGGCTCCAGCCCTGGGAGCATCTCCGTGGCCTCCTCTGGGCTTAATCCAGCAGCTCCACGTCCTTGTGCTGTTGTTCCCCAGGGCTGGAGGCAGCTCTGCAGGTGGGGTCTCACCTGAGTGGGATAGCGGGGCAGAATTTCCCCCTCCCCTGCTGCCCACGCTGTGGGATCAGCCCAGGATGCATTTGCCTTTGAGGACCAATCTCCCTTATCCTCTCCAGGAGCTGTCACACCGTTCAGTAGCTCTGTAATCTCCCTTTTTTTTTTATTTATTTTTGGTGCCTGGGGTCACGTTTCCAGCGGCTCCCTCGGTGCCTCGGGCTGACGCTTCCTCTTGGCGGGCTCTGCCCAGGGCCCGGCGTCATCCCCCGGCCCTGCGTCACCCCTGGGACGGGATCCACGGGGGCCGTGCGTGTGTCAAGGTTATTCCAGCAGAGTTTGGCCAAGAGCTGCCTGCCAGGGAGAGCAGCCCCAGCCTGGACACCCTGGCACATCCGCCCTGCCAGGGAACACCGGGGGAGGAACGCAGCGTCCCCAGCTGGGGCTCTCCGAACCAGAGGAACTGCCAGCAGGGGGTGTGTGATGGATTTGGGCTGTCCAGCAATCCAGGCTGCAGGAATTGTCGTCGAGCTGAGCGTTACCCTTTAGTTGTGGCAGCTTGAGCGCTCCCAAATGTGGAGGTCCAGCGGAGTTTCCTCTTGGCAGCACTAGGGCATCAGGGAGTAAGGCTTTCCCGAGGGCAAAGTGGCACGGGCTTCACCTTCTGGGTGCCCGAGGAAGGCACTTGCTTTTCCCTCAAGCTCTTCTTGGTACAGCTGGAAAAAGTAGAGGAGCTTCCCAAAACATAAGCCCTTCTCCAGGTCTGAAGCAGAAACTCTGGGGTTTGGAGCCAAATGTGAGTTGAGAACCTTGGAGCTCAGAGCGTTGGTGTGGACCACGTGCCCGAGGATGTGGTTGGGAATATTCAGGATTCCATGTCCTAGAGGGTACCTTAATTTTCTTGGAAAGAGGGAAGTTCTGGATTCTTTGGTTTGGCTCCATGGAGGAGCATCCCGTGGCACTCCAGCAGCTGTGCAGCCCCCAGAAACCCTGTGGGAGATCTGGGATTTACTTCTGGCCTCTCCTCCTCCCTCTCTCCCGTGTTCTTTGAAGCTCACTGGGGGAACTTCCAGACCAGCCCTGTGACTTTCTTATCTTCCTTATCACCGTGT